CAACATTTTAAAGGCAGTCTGTCAAATCTTAGAAGAGTGGTGGACCAGCAGCAAAGTGCCATCTCACTGAGGAGCTTAAATATCACCAGTTAATGTAGTTTTAGTAAAGGTATGATCAAACAATGTTAATATTGTACATCTATTTGTCGTTATTCAGGTGATGCAACTGCAATACGAGAACCGAGTGCTCCTCTCCAACATGCAGCGTTATGACCTGGCATCCCATCTGTCCCTGCGGCCCAGCCCTCGGGACAGCGACGCAGAGAGCGACGCCGGCGGTACCACTAGTGGTCGCAGAGAGAGCGATGAGGACTCTACCTCCTCCCGCCTCCTCCCACCACACCGCAAGCGTGAGGGTCCTGTAGGGGGGGAAAGTGACTCCGATGAAGTCAGAAATAATAACGGCAGCAGTCGATGCATGACCCCAACGAGGGGACTCTACACACCTCCTGGGTCTGAGGGCGCCGCTTCATCCGCCTTGGCGCGCTTCCTGCCTGGTGCCCGATGCAGCTTGCGTGACAGACAGCAAATGATCGACATACGTGTGGAAGCAGAGAGGCTGGTTCGGACCATCGACCGGCTCATTGCTGATACAGCCACAGTCATCTCAGAGGCGAGGGTCTATGTTTCAAATGGTGATCTGATGTTTGGGAGAGGAGGGGAGGAGGGTGCAGAGGATGATGGGAGTAGGATCAGGGAACATGAGCTGCTTTATCGCATTAATGCTCAGATGAAGGCATTTCGAAAAGAACTGCAAGGCTTCATCGACAGACTGGAAGTGCCGAGGCTTGAGGACAGGGAGACAGACGAGCCGCTGTCTGTGAGTTTTAAGGATTACCATTTTTTTCAGTTCCTTGTGGCATGTGAAATGTCTGAAAAGTATAACACTGATTCTGTTTCTTCCTTTTTCCCCCACATAACCCAACCTCTTGTTTTTCATCTGTTATGGTTCGTCACTTTTCCCCCAGATGTTCCAGCCGATCATTTTGCTGATCCTTATACTTGTGTTGTTCTCATCCCTCTCTTATGCCACCATCTTTAAACTAGTCTTTCTTTTTACTCTTTTCTTTGTACTGTGATGTACGCCACCCTTAATTCATATCATACCCTGTTTGTTTTTGCACTTTTTATTTTTTGTCCTCCCCGCGTCATTTGTTGCCAAGGTAACCAAAAGCACAGGAAAAGCTCAGCACTTGCCAAGACTACAGTCACATTCAAGATGGAGAGCTTGATCCAACACTGGAGTCTACATTATCCACAACACACCACTGACATCACCACTGTACTTACAGAAGGTGAGTTAACATCTATAATTGTACTTCTCATAACAGTCTGAACCTGTTATGAGAACTAATTCCGCTGATCCTTATTCAGCAGCAGTGTTTAAAACACAAATAAAGATCTACAATTCCAGAAGGGACTGGTTTGTTGCATGGCAGCGATTAACGAACAAGAATGGGTTCTCTGGGGTGCCGATGGACTAGCGGTTATGCGGGGCACCCCTTGTAAAGAGGCTCCCCTCCCGGCATTCGGGTTAGGGTTTGTCTTTCTTCAGCTGTACTATCTAATAAAGGCAAAAAGGCCCTTATAAATGTTAGGAATCTATAGAATGCTTATCATGCCCCCTTCTTGATTGTTCAGTTACTGAAATGATGAGACTTCGGGCCACATTTCAAGCTGAAACAAAATATCTAAAAACTAAAAGAGAACAACGTTGGCATCCCACCAATTCTTAGCCAACATTACCTTTAGTTAGCCAAAGTTACCTAGGCTAGGAATCTAAGTTAGGAATTTGCCCCTTACCTATAATATTACTTAACATTGTTGAATAATACAAGGAAGTACCGGTAGTTGAATGCTACTGCGGCTGTTTACTACCTGTGGTGAATGAGTTAAAAAAATAATAATAATAAAAAGTTATATGACAACATTGCCACTACTCTGATGTCTGTGGCCTATGAAAGACATTGAGCTAGAGTAAGCATCTGATGAGCCTAGGTTAGTTAGTATACATGAATAAATGGTGGGGATAAAAGCTAGTCCTGCTTTGGTTTTTGTGTTTCCATTTATCCAAGGACTAAAGACGGAGACAAAACTCAGTTAATAGTGAGTTTTCAGCTAACCAATGATGGCTCTAGCTTTATGTTCAGCATACATGACCTATTGTCTATTTTGGAAAAGAGACATAAACAACAATGTCAAACTATTTCATTATTCTAACAGGAACAGAAAAAAACAGCTTCTATTGACCATAAGATCTATCTTAAATGCCTGTAAAGCTTGTTGAGATTATGGTTTCAAATACTGTAATATGTTTCAGAAATGGGAGTCATGTAAGTATAGCGTTGCCTTCATTGAGTGTTAAGGTCACAAGATGAATCTTGATCACCTTTCCATGTTGCTGTATGCCCTGGTGTAACCCTGTTGCTATATTTATTTTCTGGTGTAACATATGATGACAGCGGTCACCTCCTCTTTGTTTTTCAGAACACTTGCTGTACCATCCTGCTGTTGTTAACTCAAGGTAAAGTAAGGATAGAGTTTGTTCTTAATCTTCTCCTTAGCTCCTGAAGCTTTTGACAGGGAACACAACAGGTGGAGGAATACTGGGGATGATCCAGGGATTCAAACTGGAAGGAATTTTGGTGATTAAGTTGAGTGCCAAATGTTAGATCCAGCCTGGGGAGGAGGAGGGAAAGGGCGCTCAAAAATATTCCCAACAGGACCTCTGATTAGAGGCATGCATTAGTAATTGATGTTGTGGCAGATGAAGGTAGAAACTGTCTTCAGAAGTCACTGCGGCAGGATGAGTCAAGAACACAAATGAAGATTTCGGTTATTTCAGGACATAGTATGGGATTTTGCTGTACTGCCCTTTAAATAAAATACAGTATATCGAGCCTGGTATCTTTTTGTTAGTTCTCATTGTACTTTAAATACATGAAGATACGGTAACGTGTATAGTTTTATGTCATTGATGAGGTTGTGAAGAATCAAATATGGCTGAAATGTTGCTCAACATGCCAGGCATCCACCTTGCAGTTTCCTTTTCGTGACTAACTTCAATAAAGATATTATTGACCGTGACACATTATTACTCACGATGTCACCAACGCCCATTTGGCACCCCTTGGAAAAATGATTTGCAGTAGGGCATAGTCACAAGACAAAATCTGCCCAAGCACCCTAAAGCAGAGTAGCAACAGAGGTGCCTATTGGCCGAGAGCTCCGGCAGCTGAAATTGCTATGTAAACACTTTCCCTCTCTCCTCCGCGAGCGCTAGTAATTATAGAAGGGGATGGTGGTGACGACAGTTGTCCCATCGAGACTTCAAATGCTGGAATAAATTTGACATTATGATATCCGATCCCGGCACCAATGGCGCGCCCGCGTAAACAAAGTGGAGCGGTATAAAGGCTGGGGACACCCGGCTGGCACAGAAGTTGTTTACCCCCTAACTCAACGCTCCGGACTTAACCCCGGCACCGAGGCGTGACGAGCAGACGGGGGCTCTTTAAATCCTGTCCGCCGCGATTTACGTAACACAGAGGAGGAAAAACAAGGTGGAAGCTGAGGAGAGAGGGGAGTTGACAATTTGGCGACGAGGCGAGTGAATGTGTTGGAGAAGCTGTAGCACACAGGGCGCAGGGACTAGAGCAGAGTGAGGATTTTTTTATAGGACGGCAGAGAAACTTTTATTTTTACTTTGAGCAAGGTAAGGACAGCTGGTTATTATTTTTTTTGTCTATTATTGTAATTGGTAGCTGACATGTTCATTTATTATGGCACTTGTGACGGTATTATTTTTGCATTGCTTATATAGACTAGGACATAATATAAAAAAATTGTAGACAAGATAAAAGATTAAACTTGGAGTTAGCCTACTGTCATGTTTAGGCGTTTGCTATAATTTTTCTTTAAATCCATTTGTGTCTATATGATTTGAAATAAAAATATGGATTTAACTTTTTAGGAAGATTAAGCATAGTTTATACTGTATTATTATTTTTTTTTTTTTTTTACATTTTTTCTTACTGTATTTTTATGATTTATGATATTTTTATGACATTCATTATCTCTGTCCCACTCCCATGCTCACACGCCATGCAGCCAGTTTACTATGCATAGTTACAAGATTATTAATATCTCTACTCTTGCATCACAGGTGGGAGGGAGGTCGCTGGTACATTGAGGCACTTTCGTCCTAGTACTTGTTGTATTCCATGTGGGCAACAACAACAAACTAGGTTGATTTTTTAAATTGATAAGGGCTGCAATAACAGTGAAGCAACTGAAACTCACATTGGAATACACCTTTATCATGTCATTGTTGACTGGGCATATTTATTGGATTTGGTGATAAATATTTTTCGGCAGCCCTTGGTGCGTCTTCAATGATTGAGCACACTTTTCAAAGGAGACCTTGAATACCAAGGTTCACAGAGAGGATGGAGGTCAAAGTGACCAAGAGTCTAAACACTTCAAGTGCTGTCATGCAACACTCTTGTCCACACGTGCTGCATATGTAGACTTACATGCCTGTGAATTTTGGAAAAGAATGCGAAAGGAGAGGGCCATAAATATCTGACTTCAGTGGGGGAAGAAAGTGTCAAACATAATGACACTTCAAGCAACACCGACAAGAAAAATATTTGGCTTGATGAAAAATCTCTTGTTGAAATATAAAGTTATTTAGGTTTAATTATACCAGTGTTCTTGTATGCATTATTATTATTAAACAGGTTGAATATGTAAAAAAGTGTAGAAAATTGTTCATCTGGAAAAGATTAAGAGATAAAACATATACAGAAAGACAGAGCATATATTATTTTAAAGCAGGATTTATTTTGTAATTCATAAAGTATGCCAATCTTGTTTTTTTCATGTTTGTCATTATAGCGTTTCCAGGCCATCGATCCTTCTGCACTAAGTGGCAATCAGACAGTGACCTCTGACAAGAGAGTGAAACAGGAGTAAGGGGAAATTGCCATTTAAAAAGGCCTGTGGGTATTGAGCTGCCCACGTCATGGCAGCCATTGATCTGGAACGTGGGCTGGAACATGGTGGCCGGGGCTGGGGGCCAGAGAGGCCGGAGCTGATGGACAACTTCGATTCAGAGATAGAGGAGTGGGAGGACCAGCTGCAGGACATCCAGAGGAAAATCGAAGAGGTGAGGTTTCAAAGAATAAATCATAAAAATATTATCTAAAGCTGCTCTTTGCCCCTGAGTCCTTGAAGACACACATTGAGTTTAAATGATGAAATATGAAATGCATTAGCTTAGTCTTTCAATAGTTCTGGTCAAGATTAATCACCATTAACATGGTAATGGTTTTGTTTCCAGATCATGAAGTGCTTTCCTAATCTTTAGAGTGTGTGTTAATTTGTGTAATATGTGTATGTGCTCATGCACCATATTTAACTGTTGGCAGCGCACCCACTGACTCAACCTCATGGTCTTGTTGGAGCAATGATACAGACAAATGTTAACAAGCTAATTAAATCGTGAGGTATTGACTGACACACTGAACGCATAAACACACACACACACACAGTCTGAAAGCAGATACTAAAGGCACTATTAAAATGATGAAAAGGGAAACAGATGCTTGTTGGACAAATATGTGCTGACCATAAATATTTGTTAGACTGCAGCTATTTTTCAAAAATTATAAAGGAGTTTGTTTTGTAAACACAGCTCCTGTGTTGAGTGTTTTGCACAGACTTGACTACAATATGTGCATGTACACACAAGTAACTAGGTTCAAATGAACAAGTTCACAACATGAAAGGAACATTATTAGGATAGGTCACTTGGTCTACCAAAGAAGTTAGATATTTGGAACAAAGAATGTTTTCTGCATGATTGCCAGATATCTGCTGACAACCAAACACTACTAATTAATACCTGTTACTATACTTATTTTAAGAGAATAAGCTACCCTTAGTAAATATTTTCTTCTGTGTTAATTTTTCAGTTGTACAATGAAGTTCAGGCCCGCAGAGGAGCAAACGATATCACTACTGACAACCCCAAAAATGGCGGAGAGTTGGATTGTGGCCTAGGGCACCATGGCAACAGCTTCTTTGTGCCCACCCATCACAGCAAGAATCCCTCTGGAGATATAACTGCACCACATCACTATAGTGACGCCTGTAACTACAGCCCCAATGGGTACAGCTACCCTGTGAGTCTTCAGAACGTCCACAGTTACTGCCACACCAATAGCGTTTCAGAGATTGGAGATTTATTGCAGGATTATTTGGGCCAGGGGAAGCAAGTGAGCCGGAAGAACAATGGGACTCGTCATGTTGTAAGTTATCAAGATAATATTCCCCTTTCTGATGCCTCATTATGTTGGCATCTGCACAACCAAGGAAACCAGATAGTGTGACATGATATGAGTCAAAGCAGGGGTTCAGCCAGGAACATATTGATTACAGTTCCCTGGTTCCTTCCAGTCTGCTTAGACTTGTAGGTTATCAGATAGGAGTTTAGTTTCACATATTTTTACTGCCATCTTCCCAACTCTGTCCCAACTCCTGACAAACCTGTCAAGACCTTTCGCCTTGACACCAAGACATTAAACTGTTTCCTGGTCCACATTAAAACCCACATATGCTGCCAACATTACAGTACAGTAGATTAGAATAGTTCCAGCAGTGCTATACCAATTGATGAACAAGGGTCAGATTAGGTTAATTTAAGGTAAGGTACAGTAGACTGGATCTTGCCAATGATCCTCTTGTACTAGAATCATTTAGCAGAGTAATTGAAAGATGTTGAATTCAGTGGGTTGAGACTGATATGGATGTTTAATATAGAATTTGTTTTTTGACTCTCTCAGCGATTCAGTGACACAATCAAGGTGAGCCCGGACGTCCCTTCACACCTGGATGAGATCAGAAGAAGTTCTGGAAATGAAAGGTACAGTTCTTTTTCTTGGGCTTCATTTAGGATAATTTTGTGTGACAGAACCAGGTGTTTATCTTTTTGCTTGTTTCTGTGTCTTTGTAGGTTTGGTCAAGAGCAGTTTTTGGGCACTTTTGAAGAGACTCAAAACAGAAAGAACCAAGTTTCAAAAATGAAGGGTTCTTCACACAGAGAGAGTTCTCCCAACAAAGAAAACACTGGTACCAAGCCTCCTCTTGGACAAAGGGATGCCCCTGCTATACAAACACGTACACAGCTCCCGTTCACAGCAGCTGATGCTCCTGCTCTAGACAGGAAGTCTTTTGCTGTTGGTGTTCTGGGAGATAGAAAGTGCAGCAGCCCTTCTGTTCTCAGGAAGTTCGGAGCCATGCTTCAAGAAAATGAGGGCAAAACACTAACCGAATCTGGGGTGGTGACCCATAAGGGTCTGGAGCCAAAGTGCCCCACCCCTGGCTGCCAACGCAGAGCTGTGGGAGCCACTGCAGTCGCCGGCAGGGCGCCCGTGCGCGTGCCTAACCAGAAATGCACAGCAGATTCCGACGTGCTGACAGTAGAGGTAGATCCCTGCCAAGAATGGGGGTCAGTATCAGACTGTAGTAGACAGAACCACAAGGATCACAGAGGAGGCTACAGCGATTCGAAAGGGTCCCATACAAGTCCCCAGCAGTCCCACAGGAGGTCACAGGTGGCTGGAAGCCCAAAGATTCGACCCAAGGCTAATAGTGGGACAGAAAAAGATGGAGGACTGGTTCAAGAAGAGCGATCAAGGCGGCATGTGCCCCAACATGGGGGGCTCAAAATGGACTTCAGGGTCTCAAGTGCGTCTTCAGGCGCTCAGAGGATCCAAAGAGGAGGGTTAGCAGGACAGGAGGTGCCAGGTTGTGGTCAAGTGAGGGATGAAGGACTTATTGAGCTGCTGGACATGCTGGACATCACTCATGAGTACAGCTCCAGTCCCAGAACAGGACACACGGTTTACAAACAGGATCCACAGCAGGTAGGCATAAGTGCTTCTTGTGTTCAGGGTTAAAATTCAATCCATAAAAACTACCAATTAAACTTGTGCACATTTGGTACAAGCTGATTTGTCTCATTATGTTTCTGTTCAGGTAAACCCAACCAACTTGTCCGCAGCCAAAACTCACAACATTTTCTCGCGTCCTGCTCGGCCAGCCAACCAGCGACCTCCTTCCAGATGGGCGAGCCGAACCCCAACTGCCAGGATCACCGCCCCATCAGGTCCAATGTTCTGTCCCCCAAATCCCCTTACTCGTCCTCCTAGCCCCAAAACAAGAACCGCAAGTCCAGCTCTGAAGCACCGGCCTCTTATTTCCTATTCTCGTCAGACTGAAACAGTCATTATGTGAGGCCCTTCCATGTCATCAAGTTCTGGGAAACCCTCTCTTTGTGTAAATAGTAAAGACTTCCTTTGAATGTTTTAAGAGATGCCATGTTAGATGCCAGTTTCCAGATAATACACATGAAATCATTCTCCAGTGTTGCTGTGGCTTCTTTGCTTCTTCTGTGCCAAACATTTACCAAAACATCAGTGTTACTTTGCTACAATTCAGTGAAGTTATCCAATTCCCCCCCTATTTTTTGGATCAAGGTGTTTTGTGTATAATGAGATTATGCATGCAGCCCTAGTTTGAGGGTGCATGCTCTATTGAACTCCTATTGTGGCCATGTTGAATCAAATTCAACCTGGCCCCTAATAGAGGAAAATTCAGTGGCAACTGTGCTCCCAGGAGCAACCCGCTATCTGTCAACAATAGTGTGTTTCTGTATGATATTGTCAAAGTAATATATTTAAGATGTTCAAAAACAGCTGTGACAAATGACTATATGCCTTTAATGTGTTTTTTTCCTTGGTAATAAATATGACAGTCGATTGACATAAGGACTCTGTCTCTCTCAATTGCTGCATTACATTGCATTGTTCCATTAACGATGGCTCGTATTTCCGATGATTTACTGCATGTCAAGCCTATGGATATCTGATAGCAGCAGTTCCCTGCATGCCAATGCCATGGCAGCTCAAGTGGTGTTGCCGTTGCAAATGAGCTAACTGCCCACCAACTTCAACACATCCACTGGTAGAGAAATACATGAAGGATCTGCATAATAACATGTTAGTCTTTTAAACAGTGTTTATTGCTAATTCATAAAAAGTACATGGATTAAGAAGTTAAAAAAACACATCTAGTGAGGAAGATAAGATCTACAATAGGACGTTTCAAAGTAATTATGCTACCCACTTCTCTCCTTAACCTTTGGCTTCCCTCACATCACCTCGTCTCAAAGGCAAGTTATCACACACTCTCAGTTTCACACATACGCTCAAAAACAAAATTTAAACTCCCAGGCATACATAACCTTCAGTTATCTCACCAAGGAAAAAATTTCACAAAATCACATGCTCTTCCGCACATGCTTGTCTCTTTTGGTAGGGGTGGCCAGAGTGTGAAATGTCATGTAAAGGCTGTGTGGTTGTACGGAAGTCCTTTGGCCCCATGGTGCCTCAGCCCTGTCACCCAACCTCTTGGTGCTATGTGGCACCTTAGACAGAAATAGCAAGCGTGACGTGTGTTTTGGTGCCAGAAATCTTATCCTGCTGTCTTTGGGGGTATAAATAAAGAGGGGGGGGGCGTTGGTTCCTCACTCTGTCTCTGTAGCGTTCTTTCATCTTGCCTCTTGCTATTTCTGCCTTCAAACAAGATATCAAACATTGATGATTTAGATCAGGCCTATTCAACCGGGGGCCCACGGGCCAACTCTGGCCCACGGATGACATCAGACTGGCCCGCAGATCACTTCTATTTACAATTTTTAAGAAAATAACTCACTTGTGAATGACTGTCATTGTTGCCACAGTAAAAGTTTTTAAAACAGCTCAGCGCTCCTGTTTAATAGAACATCTTTGGTCCTGTGCATTTCACAAGCTTCTGTTGTTGATGAAAAAAACAGCTTTCACGCAGTGTACTGCTGTGGTGGGCTTGCTTGTCCGGCCCCCGGGTCCTTAGTTTTCTGAAAAATGTGACCCCCTGAACATTAGAGTTGAATAGCCCTGATTTAGATAGTTAACATTAGGATAGAGCGTGTCCTCTTATCTGTATCCATTTGCCAGTTTCTACTCTATTTCTCTATCAAATACTGATATTTTTTTCATTTGTATTCCCAGTGTCACTGCTTTCAAAACATTACCTTTCCTCTGAAGGTAAAGGAGAGGTAGCGCTGCAGGGTCTTTGTGGCTCTACTCTATTTGCTTTTATTCCCCTTCTCTTGTTCCCAGTCTGTGTTTGCGTGTAAATGAGAGCCCATCTTACAGGTTGGCACCTACTCTAGCCGCATGTGGGTATTTTAACAAGACATCCTGTTGGCCATCACTCCTGTGTCCTCATCAGGCACCCTGCTAACTCTTGACAAGCTGCTGCCTGAATGAAATCACCCACAGTATATAAGTATACAAGACCATAATATCTGCTGTATGTTTCTCCTCTGGTTGCTACTCTACTCCCTTCATTTCCCCTGACTGGAAACTCTGCAGACAGACACGGCATGGCACGGCTTGGCACAGCATGTTCTCTTCTGCACAGGCTATTCATGAGAGCAGAGATAGACATATGACAAATAGAGAAAGAAAGGGAACATTAGAGCAGACAGCTGAACTGTAGCAATGGCTCTTCTGACATCAGCACCACCAAGGTATCACACCCACTCTCATGGCAAAGGAGGTAACACCCCTCAAAAATAGTTTTGCATCATGGCCTGGAAGACTTCCACAAGTATCTTTGCTGCATTACACAACTTTTATAATGTGCTTTTTTTGTATAGAAACACACCTATAAATATGAATGGTGATGAACCAATTCCACTACATATGCTCAGGGGCCTTATTTATGACATCTGTTCTCATGGCTCTCTGTTCTCTAAGTTCATTTGTAAGGGCCGGTGTGAATGTGTGTTTGTTCATTAAAAAAACATGACCGCATATTCACTTTCTTCATGGATGAAGGTGGGTCAGCTTTTCTTATATGTAAATAAAATAGGTGGGCTCCAAGGGAAAAGGGTTAGGGACCACTGTAATTAAGTGTATAATAAAATAGGTGTCAAGTAAAAAACAGATTTTATCCAGTTAAATAAATGAAGCATTTGGCTCAAAAGCTTGTGACGCAGTGAATATCTTATTTATCGAAAAACCTTTTGTTAAATGGAGAAAAACCATTTGTGTAAATGGGAGATTACTATTATTATTGCAATTATATTATTGTAACTGAAGAAAGTGTTTCTGTAGAAATACTAAAGGTTGTTCTTAAAAAATGTACACAATTTTTTTTTAAGAAACCTGAAAGAAAAAATAAACATATAATGTTTATATAGAAATGTCCATAATATATGATGTGAAATATATGGGTAACAGCTGGGTTTTATAGTTCAGACAATTCAAAGTTCACTTTCAGAGACAGGCTGTCTACAGTAGTTGCTAGGCAGATTTCTAAGCCTCTATTCATGTAGACAAGCTCAATCCATACAGTACATGCGTGATTATGAGTTACATCTCTCTGAAATGTCCCTGGTGGCTGACATAATGTCTTCTTGGTTGTCAGGGGCACGTGGGAATCTCACGCTCCTTCCTGCCTCTTCTCGCCCACAACCACCTGTCCCCTGTCCTTTGCCCTCTGGCCCTGTGCTGCGTCTCTCTCCTGACCCCCCCCCAGCTTGTGTCAGTTCCTACTGTGATGGACTTAAAAATAGCTGGTTAACTGCCACTTGTATTTGAGTGTGTCTCACAAAAATGTGAACAGGAGATTGACAAGACCACCCTGTTTTAGAGGTTAAACATGAATGGGACGACCTGAAACTGAGCTGTTTAACAGGTGTTTTAAAGGGGTTTTCATTTCTTCTCTGTACATTATGTAGAATCTTTTTTCTTGTTAAAATTTAAAAGACCAGGCACGGTTGCATGTCTCAAACAACATGCATGTTAGTGTACTTTCAAGTTCTACAGTGTTTGCATTTTTCGTCTGCTTTAAAAAGGATGTTCCTTTTTAGGAATCCACCTGCACCGGACATGTGTTCACAAACAAGCTGTTGAAGACGTACACCTGTTTACAGCTTTGTTATGATGTTTGGTGTTGCGTTGTTCTTAATGGGTGTAGGGCAAATCCATGCACAGATGTGACATCGAAGAGCAACTAGTTGTATTTAAATACAGGAGTTGTCTCTATGAGATTAAATGAGGTCAAATTAGCATTACTGCAATAGTGGCTGAGCCTGTTCTTCTTACGCAGCTGTATCAATAACAGAAGTTGGGTTTCTAAACTGTGGTCGATCTACTGGGACTGTTGACGGCTTAAATTATGAATTCAGGGGTCAACCCTGTTAGACTGTAGGTGTACTCTTAAATCCCACCACTCTGCACGTCCATTTTTCACCCACTTTATCTACAAAGTACAAAACGTCCCATCTGTTGGACAGTAGCCTGTGTCACGATCCCTCTCGCTCTATCTTCCTCCACATGTCCGAACTGTCAGTGTGTCTGGGTCCGTCCATTGAAACAGCCATCTCAAATACCGGATGATGAGTGAGGCAGTACAAGAGGTGGGACTATCAAGGACAGCCGGGAGGACCCTAAAGGTCTCTTGAGAATTTCAGACTTCTCCATTAAAATAGAATGGGGCCCAAAGATCCCTACTTTGAAAGACAACCCATGAGGCTCGCCTTTCAAAACAAGAGCAGCATGCTCTCGGGGGATTAGCAGGTGTTGCCTGGCAGAGGTGACTATAGTGCTCTATTTCTCGTGTGAGGAATGACCAATTTTAATTTGGTTTCATTAGAGTGGTCAGCAGGGAGCAACTACATGGCACACTGTCTGGCCTGTGGCCAACAAACATATTCAACTCACACAAAGTCATATCCAAAATAACGGCTCAGTAAGATGTTGTGGTCCAGTGCTATTCTATATTATTATTATTGTTGGGGGAAACCGTTTTATACAAGGTTTTTAGCAAAATACAAAGTGTTACCGGTTCTCAGTAATGGAGTTGCAATGGATCATAACACACAACCAAATGTACACAAACCTACTTGTTGGCTAGAGAATAATGCAGTCTTTACAAATTGTTCATTAGCTAAATACTAATGCAATCATGCTAATAACTGATAAGCATTTGCTGATGAACCCTAAACACAAAGTATCCCTGATTGTTGTTGGTAGTACTACAGTACTAGTAGTACTACATGTGCAAATAGTAGTCTAAAAGGCATCTGTCAAGCCAATCAATGTTCTTTGATTTGTCATACACAAGAGCCATTTCAGTAGCACCAACCACCATTTTTACCAACAACAATGTGCAGGCGATTTTGACTCGTTAAACTGAAATTTAAAAATCTTAAAGTATATCCTGCCAGCTCTCTGCATTGGTATCCATCACACAGCAAAGCGGTTCAGTAAGAAGATTTAGAAACTGAAACAAGACTACAAAAACAAAGACCACAACACCCAAAGCAGATCTGATAGAATCATTTACTATTTATTATTTTTACAAATGTATTATCATTGATTGTTTTATTAATTTATTTTTATTTTCAGTCTTGTGGCAAGACACAAGTGATATTGCATAAGCAAATGTCCGCCAGTTTACGTCACTTTAAGGTTCATATCAGCCATCACCATGGTGTGTAGTTCAACATACCGGTAATTCACCAAGCGGCAGCCTTATATTGCGTTTCACACAGAGTTGCATGCTTGATGTGGCTATTCATTGGCATGCATTTGGTGACTTTATACTATTCCAATAAATCTGCAAAACCGTAACCTATAAAGTTGCTTATTAATCTAACCTTTGGCTTAACCCAAATATTATAAACATAGGTTTCCTAACTAACATTAACT